TCAGGCGAATAACATTACTGATCCTAGCAAAACTATCTTCAAGTTTCTCTATTAAATTACTTTGAGATATACTATTTGTGTCGACCATCATCGGATATGTGTTGTAGCGAGTGTGACTCCCGTAATGCATGTATTTAGTAACCTCTTAATTCTCGCTATGAAGTGGGGAACGTTTCCAAGATAATATCAACAGAATATTAACAATGTGTTAATTCAATGCTTACCTATTTTCGAAACTGCTGCCATTGTTGTAATTGAAACTTGAAAACATGTTTTCCTCTACACTATGTTTGTATAATTCAATGTTTTCATTGATTGATGTGAAGCAACTCATACAAAACAATTTGATCAACAGAATCACATTATATTTTTATTCTGCCACTTTACTTAATATGATAATGAAAAAAGTTTTGTCAAGTATGTGGAGAAGTAGTTTTTATACAATGATGGCATTTTCCAGAATGTTTTTTTACGACAGAAGTAACATTTCATATATTCAAGAATCAATTCGATGACACGATTGATATTGCCATCTTCAAGAAGCACGGTTTCAATTATCCGATCCACATTCGGATTTTCAAGAAAGATATCTAGATGTCAGTTGTTTTGACGTCCGCTCGAGTAATGGGATTATGATAATTCCTGGAGGCAAAAGCTGTTATTGAGCGGGGCGTTTCAATGTCTAACCGTGCTGGACACAATGTTATGTTCCAATAGTGGTATCACACGCACTGTTTACAAATGATGCTCGGTCAGTGAGTTACGTTAGATTGAATATAATATAAATTCTCGTTATCGTGTCAGTTTTCTTGGGAATTACGCTTCTGCCACGTGCAGACCTAACAGTGCACATAAAACTATAATTGTTCCAGCTAATGAATAAAGTACCACCCACTTCTATCACCAACAAACCTGTTCATAACGTGAATGCAGCAACATTGAGGAATAGTAGGGTACCTGCTCTACAGCTGTTTGTCAAGATCGGCACCTGGTGAAGTCTTGGGGCATACAGCTTTAGTATATTCAATAGTAATAGGATCGAACCTGTACTGCTTGTCCCTAGGACTTTGACGATTTCTCAATACAATGTTTTAATGCATATTGCTCAAGTGGACTCAATCTATCTTTCGCCATGAGAATATTTTTCGTGAACTAATTGTAGGATTGGGGTGAACTTTGAAATGTCATGAACCTTTAGACTTGCCCCAACAGGAAATAAAACTCATACATACAACTGAAATATCTGCCACTTTCGGCTCCCAACCACGTACTATATCGTATTTACGACCATGCTTAGATATACAGCCAAGTCTCGTTAATATGACACTCGTTAATCCGACAATCCGACGAATTACCAAAATCACTTATTAATCAGTCTCGTTAATCCAAAACAGTGATCAGAGTTTTCCGTGGTCATCTGCCCGCGAGTACACAGCCCCGTGTTTTGATGTTTTGTATATATTTTGAATCATGCTGTTTTTGCGCATACTTGGTATAAGGGAAAAGATAAGGTTCGATAATAATTCTGATGTGACCAGGAGATTGCTTTGAAAGGCTGTCCAATATCCATCTGCCTAAGTTCACTGAATCAGATATTTTATGACGTGTCAATGAAGACATGTATCTGATCTTGCTCCATACTGTTCATTGAACCCTATTTGTCCCACTGAGTGACCAACACGAACAACGATATTGAAGTCGTAGATCGCGTCACGTAATCTGTCTGATTAAATATACTTAAGTGTAAAGTCAAAGTTAAAACGTGTAACCTCGATTGTTCTTCTGATGGATGAGGCGCTTGTCTGATGTCAGTGTGTGTTCATGTGAATGGAATACAACATAGTCTCGTTTGAATGAACTGATCATGTAATATCTTGACTTTAGCTGGTAACTGAAAACTTTCAATGTATATGGTACCTACTAACAAGTTGAAAAAAGGAGTAATTATTAAGTTTGTATTTAATCTTATATATCACGGCATATTTGATCTATGGGTTAAATGTCATCTGAAGTTTACTGAGATCACAATGTACGAAATGCTGGACTTCCTCGTAGATCATAGCTCTGCGACATTTGCGGATAGCACTTTCACACAAAAAGTAGGCATCCACATGCTCCTTCCTTGTTGATCTGATGATTATGCAAAAAGATATAGATATGGCAACAGGCTATCCACAAGACTATAACAAGAGGCATGGTGCCAACTTTCCAATAGTAAAACTTTCTTTTATGTAAAAAAAATTCCATCAGCTTCATTCTTTGGTGTCTACATTTTTCAACTTTGAAGGTAGAATGAACTATTCTTTCAGGAGTGATTTCTGATGATTATGAAAAGGGTTTTGTCGCTTTTGTTTTAACAGAATTACTATATTACATCAGTTAGAGAAGGAGCCTATCCACCGATCGTGTCATAGAGGCCCCTCCATCAGTTGTTTCAAACCGATGGTTTTGTCGCTTTTATTTCCAAGCAAAAGATGTTATAGTATCATAATGTCACAATCGATATGATTACACCTAGAAATTGTATTTGAAAGCATTATCATACATACATATATAATTAAACATCAACATAGATATACTTCTCGAAAGTAGTAGTTTGAATAATGGGTGTGCCGCATTTACATCAGATACACACATGTGTACATCGGGGCCACATTCTAATTAACATATAGTAACGTGCATTAACTAACGTCCGTAGCTAAAAATAACAGTTATTTACAAAAGATTGTACTTAAACCTTTGTGTTGAGGACGCTAACCACGACACCCACCCCCATCTCTCAAACCCGCGTACAAATCCTATTATTGTAAGTAGGTGGCCAAAACTGGCGTCTGAAAGTCGCTTTCAAAAATGTCGGAAGATATCCGATGAGACAAACCGAATTTAGGTTTTTATATAAATACAGGAGATATCAATCAAATACCAATTCTGGTTTATCTTTTCGACCCGTAACAGTTCCAATGCATCGAGTGATACGTCGTAAATTGTAATTTGTAGAGGTACCTTGATGGGTTTACAGCATGTCATTTATCAACATAACGATTCCATATCAATATTGACAGTCCTCGTGGGCGTAAAATAATAATGGGTCTATAATTGTGTAATTGCAATAGAAATACGTTATCCCTCCAAAAGGGCAATTACTTATCAGTGTCAGTTTTCGAATTCATGAACACGTCCTATTTTAATTCTGGAAACCCATTTGCCCAGAAAATGTCCATGCTGTGGCCAGTCTCTGTCAAAGGTATTTACAGAATTGAATAAATATGCTGTTCTCATGGGTACATAAAAAGGGAAGAAAAAAATTAAAAAACATCTTTCCAAAACTCAAAATTTAAACTATGTCGCCCATATGAATATTTTCCTTTGCTCAAAACTCATGTTTTTCTTTAGCAAATACACAAAGGTTTGTATACAAGCATTATGACACACAATTCAACTCATTTTAACTTAGTTCAACTAATTTATGGCGTAAATGGTGTCTTTTAACTCCAAGCAAGAAATTTTGTAATCACAACAGAAACAATTGAATCTCTTGCAGACACTGATTGATATAATTGAACTTCTATAAACACACGAATATGTAGCGACAATTTCAGTCGACGACACTCAAAATGCATCAATAACACAAGATATACCCATCTCATATATCTCTCAATGTTGTTATCAGTTGTTGTAACTACATGTAACTAGGTAATGAAATACATTTTTACACGAATGGTTATTTTAACATACACAGTTACACGTGTGTATAATATGCTGTAAAATATTTCAAATGATCAGTGTATCTTGATCTTAATATCTTTGGATATGTTTAATTTATAATTTTCTTGTACAATAATTGTAGTTTGATTCTTTTTGTTCGGTGTTATACTGTTGATTGTTTTTCCCTCCCAAAGAAAGCCAAACTTCATTCAAACCATAGCATGAGTGAGTGAGTGAGTTGGGTTTAACGCCGCTTTTAACAGTATTCCAGTTATATCACGGCCTGTCAGCTTTATGTGGGAGGAAAGCCCGAAGTGATGCAGGTCTCAGATGTTAACCACTTCGGTGAAACCCACGAGCACGGACATGGTGCTGACAAACCTAGAAACATAATCGGGGCGAACCGGCCATAGCATGAACAACATCCTCATTCACTTATAGTTATAAGCTCATTTATGAAGATGACCATGATGAATGACCATTTTATATACTACCGACAGAAAATAAAGCATTGACGAAGCCCAGTATTAAGGGTTCACTTATATTGATGAAATGACTCTCTTTCGCCGTCAGCATGATTTATGTCACGTCTGTGATCTTTAGCAAATATGTATCAGTTGAAACACAAGCAGCGATATCTGCTGAAGATATGATGACCAAAATACCATTACACATTGCGCGTGACATAGTTATTTTGGTAAATTAAAAAATGTTGTTTCAACTGTGGAAAATGTTTAAGCATGAGAGAGGCTGATATTTAAAAGGTATACATGTATGTAGCGCTACATGTAGAGTTCAGATTCATTCGTGATATAAAGATAAAGAATTTAAAATTTAAAAAAAGAATATGGCAGTGATCACGATCTGCAACTATTTGTGGATGATAAAGGGTATAAGTTACCTTTATGCACATTGTTGACGATATAAATCGTTTCTTATTCACTTTTAGGGAAAATATATCCATTCTCAGAAATTGATGTGCCAAATTTCAACGTTACATGAACGTTTGCTTGCTACTATGCGATGTTGATGCAAAGGTCCATTCCTGTTGGGTTAATGGGATTCAAGTGTACATTAAACCATGGTTTCGAAAGAAAGGGTTTGCTTATATTAATTTAATTCACCCATCTTATCTATATAGGGGATGCTTTCTGATCTCTGAGCATACTTAATTTAAGACGTTTTCATTGTCCTGTCCAGTGATCTGCAACAGCTGATCTCAATGTAGCATTTCTGATATATTAATGTTTCTCTGGTAAACCGTGAAATTTGTACATTGTTCCTCCTCCTTCCAGGTCCAATCTATTCAATTATCCTGCTGCTCGCCAGCCTCAACAGTTGCACCAATCCCTGGATCTACGTGGCCTTCAGCGACACCGTCTGCAGCGAACTTAAGAAGCTCTTTGTTCGAAAAAACAGAAACCTGAACCGGAGAGACGACCATGTTCAATGTGTTTGTGTTGGTTGTTTCAGACCTTCAGACTCAAGCGGCAGCTACCATCTCAGCGAAAGATGTGACACCAACAACAGGGTGCATAATACCTGTACATAATCCTGTAAGGACACAATGACGTGGACCTATGCGAAACAACCATACTGGTCATTGTCGAAAAAGTAATATATTACTAAGGCTTACTTGATACACGTACATGTTAAATACATCGGTATGATGTTGCGCAAAAGAAGGAAATTTTGTACTATTTCCATATTTCACTTCCATTCATAGGCAAAAACTATGAATGTTCATAATAGACTTGTACCGTGATTATTATTACAGTTTCATAAGTATAATATGTGAATTTACTACAAATGGTGGTAGGTTATTAATTGTACGTATTCGTGTTTTAAATACGATAACGGAATTAGCAACGTGATTATATCAGCAGTCGCTTGAGTTTCAGAGAACCTCTTGATATCATTAACGCATATCTCCTCAAACGCATTTCAAATCAAACATAAATATGAATTATATGTAAAATAATCACACATAATCTGCAAGTAATTCATGCCAATCTCATACGCACCTATCAGGCGCTTTATATGTTGATGGCAATATACACACTGTCGAGTAATTTTGTAAAGGATATTGACACATATACATGTCATTTGGTTTAAGTTGACTCAAGCTTGATTTTGAATTGAAATAATTTTGAATAGAGGACTGCGTGTATGATATTTTGCCAACAATTTTCCTTGTCTCTAAAGAACGCTTACGTCACACACCATTTTCCCTCTTTACATATTTACATAATCAAGAATATCCCACGTATATGTGCTCAGTATGTGTATATATGGCAGCCATATTATCGTCTTTTCATTCATGTGAAAATTGGGAGAACGGAAGTAGTTGAACCTTCCAACAATCGTAAGCAATGGATTTCATTTCTGTTTGGCTCGTTTATTATCGTAGTTGTGTGACTAAACAACTGCAAACAATTACCCTTCACCATTCACAAATAAATGCCATTTAAATGGTTTGAAAGAAGATTGACAATAATTGAAAAATAAGTCATTTTCTATTTTAAGGTGTTTTTTTGTAATAGCCCTGATACTGTGTTGATGTTTCGAGCTGTAACCAGAAGAGCAGGCACAGAGAGGATTTGCACACATGACCTATACTAACCTTCAAACGCGACTGCAGTTTGGTTTAATCATTATGGAGTGAATTCATGAGAGGAACGAACTTCCACGACACGATGGTAATGTGAAGATCGTTGAGATGTGCAAGCGATCTAGTTAAGACGGCCGGAAAACACTCAGTCTGTCATTGGTTTCAATCAAGCCTGTTCCTGTTTGAGAACAAAGCAAACTGATTTGGGGTGCTGTAATTACATGGGATCAATTGTTTCGTAATTTGATGAAATAACATGTATGTAGCAGGAATGTGTATTGAATGTTGAGAGCCTTGTGGAATTATCAGAATTATCAACAGATTAATATTAACTAGTTGAAGTTCATTCGGCGGAACTGTATGTAGTTATCTTTGATAATCGTGTGCAAAATAATCGACAAAAAGCAAATGTCAGGACAGGTCGAATGTAATGAAATTGTTCATAAACCTTCTTTGAACATCCCAACACAAGAAACATTTACACAGTGGAGTATAACACTAAAATCCTTGTTGATGCACATGGCTTTCGGTTTAATAGTCTTTTAAGGACATAAGGAGACAGTGTCGATAACAGAATTACAAGCATTAGTATCCTACTATTTTGTATTGGATATGTAATTGGATAGGTTTCAAGCATACTGTTCTCCATTTTTGGTATCTATTCGTCAAGTCACTGCTTCGACTTGTCGATAACTGCAGTTATGTAAACTGTGATTAAAATAGGTTGCTCGTCGTTGTAATTAAGTAATCCTATAATATCATACAATGCTGTATGTTCGTTACTCCCACGAGCATCCTTTTGGTTTATTCCCTGCAGGTTGATTACCAAGAAATACAACCTTAGTATACTTTAAAATGGATTACCCGAGCACAGATGCAGTGCCCAGGCAATTAATGTAAAACAGCTCCATATTTTCACAGGCCAAAACGTCCATAAACCTTTCCACATGAAAGGTACTTTATGTGAGCAAACGCATTATTTTATTGTACTTCATACAACTGTCGCATTACGTTTGATCTATTTGGTACGTTACATATGAAACGCTTAATATTTTACCTTACTGTTTTGCTGTCCTTTGTTTGATTGCAGATTCTTTATTATTACTGTATGGCTGAGATATTGGTTGAGTCGTTACATTTGAACTCATAAATGCCTTTGGTAAGATGATACTCTTGAATAAACGTATCGCACCTAAAGGTATAAGGTAAACATATATTGTGCATTTGATATTTACACTTGATATTTACACATCACGACAATTGTAGTTCATACTTTCACACGGTAAACATCACAAATACACTTTACCCTTCACACGCTATATATCACAAATAAAACATGATACTTTCACACAGTACACATCTCAAGGACACTTGGTACTTTCACACTGTACACATCTCAAGGACACGTGATACTTTCACACAGTACACATCTCAAGGACACTTGGTACTTTCACACAGTACACATCTCAAGGACACTTGGTACTTTCACACAGTACACATCTCAAGACACTTGATACTTTCACACAGTACAAATCTCAAGGACACTTGATACTTTCACACAGTACACATCACCAGTACACGTGATACTTTCACACAGTACACATCTCAAGGACACTTGATACTTTCACACAGTACGCATCACCAGTACATGTGATACTTTCACACAGTACACATCTCAAGGACACTTGATACTTTCACACAGTACACATCTCAAGGACACTTGGTACTTTCACACAGTACACATCTCAAGGACACTTGGTACTTTCACACAGTACACATCTCAAGGACACTTGGTACTTTCACACAGTACACATCTCAAGGACACTTGGTACTTTCACGCAGTACACATCACCAGTACACGTGATACTTTCACACAGTACACATCACAAGGACACTTGAAACTTTCACACTGTACACATATCAAGGACACTTGGTACTTTCACACAGTACGCATCACCAGTACATGTGATACTTTCACACAGTACACATCTCAAGGACACTTGATACTTTCACACAGTACGCATCAGAAGTTCACATGCTACTCTTACACAGTAAACATGGCAAGTATACTTTCTAATAGTACAAATCAAAAGAACACTTGATACATTCACATCGTAAACACTACCAGTACACATGATATGTTCACACGATAAACGCCACAAGTACACATGATACCTACACACAATACGAATCATAAGTACGCATGATACTTACACACGGTAAATATCAAAAGTACACATGATACCTTCACACGGTAAACATCAAAAGTACACATGATACTTTCACACGGTAAACATCGCAGGTACACAGGATACTTACGGACAGTAAACATCACAAGTACACAAGATACTTTCACACGGTAAACATCACAAGTACAATTGATACTTTCACACGGTAAACATAACAAGTACACACGATATTTTCACCCGGTAAACGTCACAAGAACACTGATACTTTCACTAGGTAAACATCACAAGTACAATTGACACTTTCACTTGGTGAACTTCAAAAGTACACGCGATACATTCACACGGTAAACATCACAAGTACACATGATACATTCACACGGTAAACATCACAAGTACAATTGATACTTTCACATGGTAAACATCACAAGTACACATGATACTTTCACATGGTAACATCACAAGTACACATGATACTTTCACATGGTAAACAACACAAGTACACATGATACTTTCACACAGTAAACATCACAAGTACACATGAAACATTCACACAGTAAACATCACCAGTACACATGATACATTCACACGGTAAACATCTCAAGTACAATTGATACTTTCACTTGGTAAAAATCACAAGTACACACGGTAAACATCACAAGTACACTTGATACTTTCACACAGTAAACATAACAAGTACACTTGATACTTTCACACAGTAAACATCACAAGTACACATGATACTTTCACCCGGTAAACATCACAAGTACACGTGCTACTTTCACACAGTACACATTTCAAGGACACTTGATACTTTCACACAGTACACATCTCAAGGACACTTGATACTTTCACGCGGTAAACATCACAAGTACAATTGATACGTTCACATGGTAAACATCACAAGTACAATGATACTTTCACATGGTAAACAACACAAGTACACATGATACATTCCCACGGTAAACATCAAAAGGACACTTGGTACTTTCACACGGTACGCATCTCAAGGACACTTGGTACTTTCACACAGTACACATCTCAAAGACACTTGGTACTTTCACACAGTACACATCTCAAGGACACTTGGTACTTTCACACAGTACACATCTCAAGGACACTTGGTACTTTCACACAGTACACATCTCAAGGACACTTGGTACTTTCACACAGTACACATCTCAAGGACACTTGGTACTTTCACGCAGTACACGTCACCAGTACACTTGATACTTTCACACAGTACACATCACAAGGACACTTGACACTTTCACACTGTACACATCTCAAGGACACTTGGTACTTTCACACAGTACGCATCACCAGTACATGTGATACTTTCACACAGTACACATCTCAAGGACACTTGATACTTTCACACAGTACGCATCAGAAGTTCACATGCTACTCTTACACAGTAAACATGGCAAGTATACTTTCTAATAGTACAAATCAAAAGAACACTTGATACATTCACATCGTAAACACTACCAGTACACATGATATGTTCACACGATAAACGCCACAAGTACACATGATACCTACACACAATACGAATCATAAGTACGCATGATACTTTCACACGGTAAATATCAAAAGTACACATGATACTTTCACACGGTAAACATCGCAGGTACACATGATACTTACGCACAGTAAACATCACAAGTACACATGATACATTCACGCGGTAAACATCACAAGTACAATTGATACTTTCACATGGTAAACATCACAAGTACACATGATACTTTCACCCGGTAAACATCACAAGTACACATGATACTTTCACATGGTAAACAACACAAGTACACATGATACTTTCACACGGTAAACATCACAAGTACACATGAAACATTCACACAGTAAACATCACCAGTACACATGATACATTCACACGGTAAACATCTCAAGTACAATTGATACTTTCACTTGGTAAAAATCACAAGTACACACGGTAAACATCACAAGTACACTTGATACTTTCACACAGTAAACATAACAAGTACACTTGATACTTTCACACAGTAAACATCACAAGTACACATGATACTTTCACACAGTAAACATCACCAGTACACATGATACTTTCACACGGTAAACATCTCAAGTACAATTGATACCTTCACATGGTTAACATCACAAGTACAATGATACTTTCACATGGTAAACAACACAAGTACACATGATACTTTCACACGGTAAACATCTCAAGTACAATTGATACTTTCACTTGGTAAACATCACAAGTACACACGATAAATTCACACGGTAAACATCACAAGTACACTTGATACTTTTACACAGTAAACATCACCAGTACACATGATACATTCACACGGTAAACATCACAAGTACACATGATAAATTCCCACGGTAAACATCACAAGTACACTTGATACTTTCACTTGGTAAACATCACAAGTACACTTGATACTTTCACACATTAAACATCTGAAGTACACATGATACTTTCACACGGTAAGCATCACAAGTACACATGATACATTCACACGGTAAACATCACAAGTACATTTGATACTTTCACGAGGTAAGCATCACAACTACACTGATACTTTCACACAGTAAACATCACAAGTACACATGATACATTCACACGGTAAACACAACCGGTACAGTTGAAACTTTCACATGGTAAACATAACAAGTACACTGATACTTTCACACGGTAAACAGCTCAAGTACACAAGGTACTTTACACGGTAAGAATCACAAGTACACATGATACTTTCACACGGTAAGCATCACAAGTTCAGATGAAAAATTCACACGGTAAACATCACAAGTACACTTGATACTATCACGCGGTAAACATCACAAGTACACTTGATACTATCACGCGGTAAACATCACAAGTACACTTGATACTATCACGCGGTAAACATCACAAGTACACATGTTAATTTCACACGGTAAACATCACAAGTACACATGATACTATCACGCGGTAAACATCTCAAGTACACACGATAAATTCACACGGTAAACATCACAAGTACATTTGAAACTTTCACATGGTAAACATCACAAGTACACATGAAACATTCACACGGTAAACATCACAAGTACATTTGAAACTTTCACGCGATAAACATCACAAGTACACATGAAACATTCACACGGTAAACATCACAAGTACATTTGATACTTTCACACGGTAAACATCACAAGTACACTTGATACTTTCCCATGATAAACATCACAAGTACACGTGATACTTTCACGCGGTAAACCTCACAAGTACATTTGATACTTTCACACGGTAAACATCACAAGTACACTTGATACCTTCACACGGTAAACATTATAGGTACATTCGATACTTTCACTTGGTAAACATCACAAGTACACACGATACTTTCACACGGTAAACATCACAAGTACATTTGATACTTTCAGACAGTAAACATCACAAGTAAAATTTATACTTTCACATGGTAAACATCACAAGTACACACGATACTTTCACACGGTAAACATCGCAGGTACACTTGATACTTTCACACCGTAAACATCTCAAGTACAATTGATACTTTCACACGGTAAACAACACAAGTACATTTGATACATTCACACGGTAAACATCACAAGTACACATGATACTTTCACAAGGTAAACATCACGAGTACATTTGATACTTTCACATAGTACACTTTACGACAAAACAAATCGGAATAACTGAAACAACTTCTCATAAAATATGTTTTATGACATTGCTCTTGTTTTGTTTGATTCTAAATACATGTATTTCCACGTCCCCGAACAAGCCGGTATTTGAACATTAACAATGGATAGGCCATTAAGATCAGTTTTACCTTCTAAAGCAAATCTTACAGCGTTATCATACGGACATTCCATTTCAAAGTGACATTGGAATGTTTCTCCATCACAACAAGGGTATTTTAAAGAAGAAACAAATCGATTTATTGCACCTGTAAATGTACCTGTTAATCTCATGTTATATAATTGCCTTTGCAATTTATCATCACATCCCTTGCTTAATATTGTTTTTAAAGTTTGTATTGTAAGGCATTATAAATTAGTGATCAGTTGTGCTTATTAGACGGAAGCCAGAGCTCCAGTATGTGAGCATGTAGCACGTCTAAACTGAGATATATCTATTGAATATTAATTACAGGACAGAATAAATCTATCCGAATATGATCATGAGTCTGTTATGCATTCAGTTGCAGACATTTGTTGCAGCTCTGTGGATATGCTACTTACGATATCGATGCATTCAGTAAAATGCCAGATGCAGCTGATACATCGGTGCAATTGGTTTATCATGATGATGTTAATATTAATTCTTCTTCTGTAACCCTGGAGTTTCGTTATATTCATCTTAACGTGCTGGGCGTAATGTAGCCGATATTTATCTCTGGAACAATCTTCTTTCTTCAGAAGTAGTATATTTCAGTTTAATTTGCATATAAAAACGATAAAGCCATTTCCATAATCATAAGAAACCGGTGGTAAAAGCAGACTCCATTCTATGTTTCCGATCACATCATCATCATATGTTTATGAATTACTAACGAATAGTGATGATACCAGGTGTTCGCGTAAGATGAAAGTAACCCGCCCCTTCAGTGGTATCCGTCACAAACACATGCAAAGGCGTCAATGAGAATATTGGGTTTCATATTACTTTTTTATGTAATGATTCTGAGTCTCTTCGGGAGAAGACTGTAACCAATAGCCTACCTGACCGCACGTGCAATCATTAAAATAATGTCTAAGATTTGGAGGGTAATAAAATAATTACTTGATGTTCATGTTAACGGAAGAGGGCTCACGATCAAGTTAACACCTCGGGTGGGTTGTAATGCGGATGAAGTGAAAATACGAAACAAACCTAAACAATTCTCCCGACATCACGATATATCTATCTAGTTATATTTCCCAGTGATTATAATGTACATGTTACAACATGTTATTAAAATATTGCATTTACAGAAACAAGTTCTTCGTTAATTGTATTTGTGATGGAAACTTGGATAGTCTTAATCACCATTCATTTCATTGACCTTCCTCAGAATAGATAGGCATTGCTTACGAATCTTAATCCATATTTGGACATAGTATTTATACAACTGGAAAAGGGTAAACACCACACTTTTTATTGTCATATATCCCGAACCAGCGTGTACCTTTTGGAGATATCAACATTTGACGGTGATCTTATTTCGAGAAAATGTCTACGATACCACAAATGCCCGATGGAGAGTTGGTACACTGAAGTCGTTTCAGCAATGCATGTCACAAAAAGTTTTGATTTGATTTTGAATATGTGCATGTCATCATGTAAGAAACCGAATGTGTTTCGTCAAAAACAATACACGATGCAACGGCTCTATCTTTGGAAATGAATAGAAGGCGGTGTTAAAACTTCCAAGTGTATATATCGTGTAAGAACTTGAGGCAATACTTGTTCAGAAAAAACACGATGTTCGGTCACGCATCATTTTGTACACCTCCCTTCCGTTTTGGTAAAACGCTGAGGTAGCAAAATCATGGCATTTGAGAATGATCAGGTGTTTTGGAAACCATACTCAATTGTTCTAGCTCTTAACAATGTCCTCATCTATGTTTGGTGTGAGCATATAAATACACGTAATTCTGCACATACACACACAATTCAGAGTATTTAACATTTCAAATACTTCATTATGGGATGTTTGCATGTTTGCGGTGACATAGTTTTGCTTTGCCCTTCATTCTTAACGGGGTATTCGATCAATTCAATGAGCAGTGTCTTAAAAAAGTGTGTCACTTCAGTAATATTGTAACGAAGTGAAGTACTGGCAACAGCTGTGTGTACAGATGTCTGGCTTCTGATGTTAGGAGCGCATGGTAAAGTGTTCTTCTGTAGACATGATCTCCTAAATGACTTTAATGGGACAATCACTCTTTGAGATAAACTGGTATCCAAGATACTTCCTCATCCATTACTGCCATATCAAAGCTGACTGAGAGTGTAGTGAAACCAGTCTTCTGATCAGGATATTCAGTTGCCCCATGTATCAAATATCGACAGCAGGTGTTTTGTACATGTACATACTTTTGACCAGTGCACTCTCAGAACACATTTGGTCATGAGTAGGAAAGTCTACCCTTTCAATACTTCCCTGTACATTAAGCCCGAGTAATATTCTTAATATATACTGAACTGCAAAAGAAACAGCGTCACCATGGACAGATATATATTGTCCAAACACTGTAAACATACTTTGAGACATATTAAAAAGATGAAACTTGGCAAAACTTATCATCAAGGTTGAAATGAAAGTGTCAAATATACTTAAAGTGAAACACAACATGTCTCTGAGAAAATGGCATCACAAGTCATTATATCCTGTGTCCGCCATGTGCATTGGAATGGATGAGACAGTTGATAAAGGCCATAGGCACTTGAGCTTGAGTTCAGCTGCAGTTGTCGGCCTTGGTCGGACGTCATTCAGTCGTCTTTGAATCTCGTCCCCCATGTGCTCAATGGGATTTAAATCGGGACTGAGGGCAGGTCACTGCATGGTTCTGATGCACTCGCAGTTTGGCGATATCAAGCTTAAGCTCGTGGTTGCGGCGACGTGCCAAATGAGGTAAGACTTGATCAGTGTACCGAGCTGCTGTGACACCATTGCCTCCCCCTGGACCGATGTTCTGGAAGACCACAGGGGTGACCCCCTGTGCAAGACCAATTCCATCCAACACCATGATACTCGAACCACCTCACGAGTCTCTCTCAACATTACAAACATCCGAATAATGTTCCCCATGGCGTCCCCAGGCTATCTCTCTCTGCCATCCGCAGTTGAGATACAGTAACGGCTCTCGTCTGAGAAGAGGACTCCTCTCCACTGCTGGTGGCGCCAATGCTGGTGCTGTGCTGCCCATTGAAGACGGCCCCGGCGATGGCGTAGTGTCAGAATGGGTCCTCGGTGTGGCGATAGCGTGGTGTCAGAATGGGTCCTCGGTGTGGCCTGTGACAGTGGAGGTGTCTGCTCGTCAATCGTCGCTGGTGTGTCCCCATGGTCTGTCGAGCAGTTTCCGCAGCAGTAACAAAGCGATCTTGAAGATGTTGTCGCACAATCTGAAGATCTTGACGTCGGGTCATCTGTAGTATTGGTGGTCTGGTACTGTTGCTGGAGCCTGTATATGGTCCTTACATGTACGTGGACTTGAAATGCATTGGCTACTTGCCGGGCGGTTTGTCCAGCTTGCAATCGTCCAAGGGCTTGGTATCGCTCATTTCTTGTCAATCTTGGCATGTGATAGCAATTCAATAACGAATGAATGTTATCCGATCTGGGTGGATTTTTATAGGGCAAGAAATGGGGGAACACATGTGCATTTCAATTTGCACGGAACTCACGTGCATCGGGTTACCATGGCCGTTACCGTGAAGAGTTTGGGCGATCGGTTTTATTGTAATCTGCTTTGTTTTTTTATCATCCAATTTTATTTTTCCGGACAAGGTAATGCTAAATTTTAGCAACTTTGACAAAAATTACCAAGATATTAAAATGACAACTTTTCATGCAATGATACTTGGGGTGACGTTTCTTTTGCGGTTCAGTATATTATAACATTGAGGAAATGACTGCGGATAAGACCAGTCATTTTAACTGCATGTCACCAAATCACACGGGATCTGCAATCTACTAATGTCTTGAGTCGAGGCTTTAGAGGCGCCGGAGAAAGCATGTAACATGAAATCTCAAAATCTTCTGTCCACATGTGATAGAGTGTTACATGTATGGCCATTGCAAATAGTAAGACCTGCTATTTCACAACATGCTTTCATCATAACGTGTGACAGATTAATTTCAGCCGATAGTCTAACTGTCAGGAAATATAACATGAGGGTAATAACAATTATAGGATTTCAAAACTTTTTAGAAATTATATGGATAAAATAATCTTGATGCAATGATAACGTCAGATATATGCGACCCAAATCGTGTGTCATTGGATGTTATAATTTCAAAAGAGGCAAAAGTGTTCATTCACATTAGTAACCCCAAATCTAATTTTTAAAAAGTCAATAACACTTTTCATTTTCTCATATGACCTTTTCGACCATCACCAAAAGGTGAATGTAGTACATTTGCTTTCACTCGTTGTTTTTCATACAGTTTAAATCGTATCAAGGATACAGTGGGTTTTAAAAAATATTCATCTACATTGGCCTCGTTACTAATCACGTCATCATTCACAATAATCGTGTAACTTAGATGTAATGATTTATAATTCCGTGAAGTATGTTTTGTAATCAGCAGCATTAAGCATGTTTTTGACACTGCAGTAAATACATTCATGACGGCGATTCCAGTAGAATTGTATTCGTCTCAGGCCTAAAGCTGTACACTACATAAACGCTATCGACCACACAGATCAGTCGTCGTTCGTTTTCAAACTCAAAATAATTTAAAAGTGCCTTTCACCATTTGTAATGCACTATTTTTTAAACAGGAAATGTACAAGATCAAATGTACATGTACACATATTATTTCTGAAAGATATGTGGACACTTACATGAGCAGCTGAAATCTGGCTACCCAATATGATATTCATGAGGTCTGTCTGGCAAAATACTCATGTGTAATGATGTAAAACACAACGTTTCGGAGTATATGTATATGTGTTCCTCATAATAAAGAAGTTGACATCTATATATTCTCTTCCTTAAGTTTATTACTTCTAAATGCCTTTCAAAGACCTATAAAGATGTTATTTGTGTAAATGGTTCGCACCAATTATCATAGTCAGAGGGATTTAAAGGGGCACTAATCTCTGGCTTCTTCTCGGCTGTCCAACACTAGCCGCTCACAAGCTGCCGTGAGTCGATATGCTCGCTTATACAAGAGACTTGGCAAACGTGTGCAAGGAGAGCTAAATAAACGTGGAGGCAATATTTGTTTTTCGCATTTTTTTAAAATTGATTGCTTACCCGTGATCTATAAAGATTTCTACAAAGGGCGCATGTTAATTAGTTTCTTCAGCCTAAATTTAAACAAACAGGCAAAAAGAACGACGGAAGCTCTTCGGATGTCGTTATTTGGATATACCCCTGATGGTTATTGTTTAATTATAAAAAAGCAGCCCTGCAGTGAAAGCATTTTCGGATTTCGGATTGCGTGGACAATAC